TTTCCTGCCCAGGGCAGGGGGTTGACTTGATGATCTAATAGGTCCCTTCTGACCCTAAAATCTATGAAATCTATGAATCCAGCTGATCTGCGGCAGAGCTGGGACCCCAAGTCTCTGGACTCCTAGTGACTGCTCCATCCACTGAACTAAACTGACTTTTATGCCCCGTCTATCTCATCCCCTGGGCCTCAGGCCTTTACCCGCCCTCCAGCATTTGCTCAGCTCACGCGGCACTAGTCTCCAGTGTCTGCTTTAATCAGATAGCAAAGCTATTTTCTCATGGGCACAAACATGCTTCCTAAAAAAAAATTACTAAGCCAATTTCATACAAATTATTCTAATTGGAATTTAAATCATAGTGAAATATGATCCCTGGAAGGATTTTGGCAGCGTTGGCAAAAGATTACCAAGAAGTGGGCGTTGAGCATCAGGAGGCAGGGATGGAGGGAGGGGAAGAAAATGAAAGATTATAAAGAATTTCAAGATTAAAGGAGACTTCTCCAAAAAAGAACGTGGCATGGCTTAATTTACAAATAGAAATGGGCATGCTTTACCTGTTAGTATTCAGGGTATAATTACCCTGCCAGTCAAGATGGGCTGAATTCTCAAATAAGCCTATTGTACACGGTATGTGTCTTTTACATAATTCTTGGTACTGATTTCTGATTGAAATCTGCTTTCTGAAGGCAGCGTCTGCATATTGTACTTTTAAGCAAGCAGGAAAGGTGGCCTCACTCCACCTGTTACTTTTCTTTTATTAAAGCTTTGTAAAGAGCTTGATTCAGTAACTTTGCAGCATAGTATACCGAAGCCCCTTTCATACATAGGACTCATCTAAAAAAGGGATGATCCTGCTCTAATCAGGACACTGGACTAGATGACCACTTGCAGTCCTTTCCACCCCTCCTTTTCTGTGATCACTTTACCCAGCCAGATGCAGCCATCTCTGGGGAAGAACACGGCAGCCGGTCAATGGTGCCAATCTGTATTATCCGTCAGTGAAAGGGGATGCCGTATCCAAACCAAACTGCTGGGGAGATCAAAAGGGATGAGAACCCAAACCAGGGAAAGTTGCACCTCTGCCCCCTGATCTTTTGGAAGTGACCATTACATCTGCAGCATCGTTAGCACCGCGGTTGATCATTGTCCTGTTTCAGGCATCAGACTGTAGACATACTCTTTATTTAAACACAAGTTTTTCTTTTTTCCAAAACCTGCCACCCCAATTAATCCTATTTGTATAACTCCAGTCATTTAGGAGTTGTTCTTTGAGAATGTGCCTCCAAGGGCGCTTGAAAGTCCAGCTAGAAAACACTAGATTAAAAGAATTGGCTAAAGCAATGAAGAGGCAGGAGGAATGGTGTCAATGAATGAGGTGGGACTCGACCCCCACGGCACAGAGCTTGAAAAGGGGAAGGAGCAAAAGTGGCAAGGAGAGAGGGAAACCGCACAGTTTGCTTCCCTCTCCACTGCTTAAAAATATTAACTAAAACTACTAAATCTTGCTAACTTCATTTCCCCCTTAGCAGCTTAATGACGTGCTCAAACAAATAAAGACTTCACTGTAGTAGGGGAATTGATAATAAGATTTTTCTGATCACCTTGGTGTCATCATAAAATATGAATGTTCATTTCAGAAGTCAAGACATCTTTGGGAAGGCAAATGGTCCTTTACTGGTGATCTGCAGCATGCTAATACCGCAGCTTGTACCAGATGTCCACCTTCATTCTTATCTTGCAGCTGCTGTTGAATAATATGGGGATGCTCCGAGATACTAATGAGTTTATCCTCATAAGCCCCCTGTGAGGAAGGAAATGCTGTCCCTGATGGCACAGATAAGGACCTGAGGCCTGGAAAGAGTAAGTCAGCCCTACAGGAGGCTTGCTGTGGCCAGGGGTGATGAATCTTGTGATGGAGAGTGTAGATCTGTGGATTGAAGTTAGATCTCCTGAGTCCCAAGCCAGTGCCTTGCCTACAAGGCCATCCTTCCCCACCGTGGGCTTCAGTCCTGAATCAGGAGACAGGGGTGAAAGGCGACTCCAGATACAACAGCCAGTCGGCCCTTGGCCTCTCAGACAGCATCACGCCCAAAGGAGCTAGTAGCTGGGACTTCATGCTGGGAAGAGCAAGTGTCCAGGTTCCACAATGTGAACTTTGCATGAGTGTTTGAGTGCTACTTGCTACGCACAGCCTTCCCCTGCCTTGACTCTTCATAGAGACCTTTTCATCCTGAAGTGTCTGCACAAGAGGTTGTGAGTGATTCGAGGGTGGATAATCCTATGTGGGCATCTACTTAAACCAGATGCTGCAATGGGTGAGATGCCTTCTTTAGAAGAACTCCTGGGAAATGTCCCTGGGGGAATTGCTTCTAGTGGGGAGATCACTGGTAATGTTGTCTAAAGTGGGTCACCATCTTGTTCGCCTAGGCCAGGGGTGGGCAAAATGCGGCCCGGGGGCCGGATGCGGCCCGCCAGGCCATTCTATCTGGCCCATGGGGCCCCTAAAAAATTTAGAAAATTAATTAAACTGCCCTGGAGTGCCTGTCGTGCAGCCCTCGATGGCTTGCCAAAACTCAGTAAGCGGCCCTCTGCCCAAAATAATTGCCCGCCCCTGGGCTAGGCCATCCAACAGCCACAGTGCTTTTATGCTCACACCTTTCTTGAGCATGCTAGTCTTGGCCATTGAGAGGACAAAGCTGTTTGAACCATCCCTGATTTTATTTCATTTCTGCACCAGTAAGACTCACTGTGACTTAATATAAAATATAAATATATATAGTCCAGTTGTTTCTATTATTTCATGTCACTAGACCCTTTCCAGTTTAACTCAGCCATAGCTTCAATTCTTCCTCTGTCTCCGACCAGACTGATGTCTAGCAACGTGCATCAGAATAGACTACAGCATGTCCCTATATGCCTGGCACATTTTGTTATAAACGCCAGATCTTTGCATTTGTCTCCTTGGCTGCATCTGAGTTAATAGGACTTTTCTACCACAGTTAAAACACCCTATGTCAGGAGGGAACGAGGTGACACAGTACTTGGCATCAAAAGGCAAGAAATGATTTCAAATTACCTCCATTTTTGCTTTGTGGAGATAATGAGTATGATTTCTAAAGAAGCTTATGGGAGTTTTGGAAATGATCTTAATTTCCCAGCTTCTGTGCCTAATGCTGGTGTTAGTCTTCAGACCCCTTGTACAATGGTGCACACCCTGTGATCTCTTGCTGGATGACGTTGACCTTTTGGATGCACGTCCGTGGTCGTAATCTGTGCTGCTACGTGTTTCATTTGGTGTTTTCGTATGATCTGGCTTGCCAAGCTGCATCGCTTCAATCTGTAGTCATGTAATGGAAGAGGAAGACAAAGGCCCCTTCATATTTCCAACACACTACTTCTGGATTGATGACAACTCGAGTGTTAAAAGTTTGATGACATCAGAGCGTGCATGTGTTTGGGCGAGAGAGGCTTCCAAGGGGAAAATGTAGTGGTGCAGTTCAAGGTCACTTCCAAAGCAAATTGGAAACGCTAGTGGTTTCCCTACCAATGCTGCTGAGCTCAAGGGCATTGTGAATTTATGATGCTGAACGTTAAATTGATATTTGCTTATAATCTAAAAGTTGCATGCAGTTTACTTGCATCCTGAGTGATCGGGAGAGACAGGAGTCCAAGACTGCATTGTTCTCCTTGGGAGAGCAATTAGTTGACATGCGTGTCCTGGTCTGACTTGTTGATTATCGTGGTCATGCTCAAATAAGATTATTAAATGGTAGAAGCAAGTGTAGCTCATAACTTAAGGTAACGCCAGGGCATTTATAGTCATTCCTTTTTAGACATGTTGTTTTTGTGGCTGTTCCTAGGAAACCGCTCCCTCTGCCTTATCCAAGTCCACCTAACTCCTTGACTATAACCAGGTGTTCAGTGTCTCTCTCTGCTTCAGCTGCTTAGCCATGGGATCCAGGTTCTGTTCCTGGATCTGCCCAAATCTCACAATCTTACAAGTTTCACAGGATGTAAAGTCCCAGTTCCTGGAATCAAGTGATTACATCAATTGCTAATTAAAGGTGAAATTAAGTTCCTAGCCCTCAGGATTGGAGAGAGTAGCCTGAAAATCTTATACGAGTGGATCCTTGAGCCACACTTAGGATATTTTGGGCCCCGCCTTCTGACGTTTGAACATTTGAGGTTGGCAGCACTGGATCCGTTAAGTAATCAGGGGCAAGTCTTAATCTTTGTCTCCATATTTCTTGCTTAATCTTTGTCTCCATATCTCTAGGAATAGTCTAGTTTGAGATCATTCGTGGGGGAAACCCTGCAGAAGCCCAAAGTACATTTATTATGTATAGTTCTCACTCTTTTCCATCAATGCTTTTAATAACCTACTTTTCATGGCTATTGCCGCTGTTGAGGTCATCAGCATTGGACACTAAAGTCAAGGCAATTCTCAGAGCCAGAAGAGAACAAGCAGATGTGGACTTTGACCCTATAACTATCATTAATTTCTACAAAATATATTGGCTGTCCGCAGTACAGCATCCCAGAGCGACAGTGGGGTTGCTTTGTGGAGTTCGGACACATACGGCCTAGTCCATGGGCTAAGCTTTGGGCTCTCTGAAGTTGGGGTGAAATTCTAACAGCATGGTGTTTCTAAAGGGGTTTATTGGTTAGGGATCATGTATGAAGAACATTGCCCTCAACCAAAAGGTTTGTATCACTTGAGAGTAAGTAGTAGAAATGAACAGTGATCTAACATCAATGTGTCTGCTCTACAGTAGGTCTAATTCAACCACTGTGTGTGAACTAGGATATCGTGCTGCAAGTCGATACAGATGCCCCTTCCACATCCCAATCATACTCCTTCATCCTAAGATTCATCCTAAGATTCTTTGCAGCCTGAAGTATCCCCCTGCCCTTTTTTCATCCTACCCAGAAGTCCTTTCATTGCACCTGTGACCAGAGTTGATTACATAGACATGTTCTGGAGAACATAAGGATGTAAGAAGTACCATGCTGGGTTAGACCAGTGGTCCATCTAGCCCAGTATCTTGTCTCTGACTGCAAGGCCTGGGACCTCCTGGCTCTAGCCAAGCTAGTGGTCTATCTCACCAGCAAGGAGACTCTGGCTGGGAGGACCCCTGGGGACTGTGGGGCTGCTTTCCTTACCGCGGTCTAATCACGTCTCTAGACAGAGTTTCACTGGGGAGTGTCCATTGGCTCCTTGGAGTCGTTCGAGGGCCAGTGAGCTTTGTTCGATGACCCCCACTCGGTGCACTATTTAGAAACCTTTGGCCTCCCTTTCCATCCCTGTTATGGTTTTAGTTGCCCCAAGGAATCAGTTGCCACTTCCACGGCAGCCTCCTTTTTTTGAGGGAGGCTTCTAGTTCTGGTTGGTCCATGATCCCTTAAAATGGCAAATAGGCCTGTCTCTGACAGCGGCAGAAGTGGGTGCTGTACAGGGAAAGCATTCAGTCTCTGTAGTGCAAACTCCCCAGAAAGAGTTACCAAGACCTGGTTTCCAGTCTGAAAGTTGTATGGGTTTAAAAAATGGATTTAAAACTGGCCTAAACTTATAACGTAGATGCAATCAAACTGGCTTACTCTTGCTCATGTTGGTTAGGTTTCTGCCAGCGAGTTACCAAATGAAGCTACAGTCATATAAGTGTTTCTACATTACAGGTATGCAGAGGGTTACTTAGTTAGAGTGATTTGAAGGCAAAGATATAGTGGCGCAGCATTTCCAAAGGGGTGCGTTAGTCCTGGTGGTTATGCTGTTCTCCTTACCTTGCGCAAACAAGCTGGAAATCGGTATCACTGGACGGTGTTTCCGGCTCCCTCACTGACCTTCAGCAGTCATTTCAATCTATACGTTAAGCAGGGCAGAGTAGCACCTTATACATTTATTTGTGTGTATGCATAATACTGTATACTTTAGTTGTTATACCTCTTATGTTAATCTTCCATCTGGGAAATAGAGTATGCGATGCCGTGACTAGCTTACAAAGTATGTTGATCATTTTGGGATGCATAACTTGCTGAATGTAAAAAGGTAGGTAGCCGTATTCTGAAGTCAGGCAGAAGGCAAGGCAGAGTGGCACCTTAGAGATGCATTCAGAGGCATGAGCTTTCACGGATTCACAGAAGTTTAGGGCTTGCAACATCAAGCCAACTTGATGAAGTAGGCAGCTGCCCATGAAAACTTATGCCTCTGAACGAGTTACTCTGAGGTGCTAACTTGGCCTGCCTTCTGGCTAAATACAAAGCATTGCTAGTCCTTGTAGCTGGAGGGGATTGTTAATGAGGGTCTGTTCTGTTGGAAACAGAAGTATAATGTCTTTGAATTCACGCTCCTCGAGGGATTTGTCCCAGGCTAGTATTTTCACTGCTGCATTTGTTTTGTGTTCAGCTTCTCAGATGCTGACATTCACTGCATACTTTGCAGTCGTAGTTGCACTTTACCTCGTTCCACTCACTATCTCTTCCCCTTGTATAATGGAGAAGAAGGACCTGGGACCAAAGCCTGCCATCATTGGTCATCGTGGAGCACCAATGGTAAGTACCTTCGTATTATAACTGAGCTGTGTCACGGGTACATTTTAGTGCTGGATGTGATTGCCGTATAGAGGCTAAAATCCACTGTCCACATAACCCTGTACAACGTGTTCTGGTTCATGATATAGGACAAGGCATGTAATCTCTGTCTACCTTTAGTGTATTATCTACCTCCCTAATATAAAGAGCATTGGGAAGCCTGGGTAACTATTGAGTCCCACAAAGGAAATCAGATGTCTTATCTTGCTCGGATTGATCTCAGTAGGAGCTGGGCTCAGCTCCCAAATACCTGTGTTGAACTGTCCCAAGAGCATAGAAACCTTGTTAGGGAAAGTGCTTTTTTGGATTGCTTCCCTCCCTGAATGCTCCAAAAACACCTTGACGCAAGTGGTTAATTTTGTATTCCAGAAAACCTGCTACAAAGAGCTGGGGAGGTCCTGAAGTTTTCTGGGGATGCATAAGCTATTATTATAACTCGGTGACAAAGGAGCTGTGTCATGGAGCCAAGTGCTATCTGTCCTCTGTCACAGCAGACAGCTTGGCCGTGATGCTGAGCAAATAAGCTCTGCCCTCCCTCCCCCCTATTCCTGCTCCACACACGTCCTCACAGGAAAGGAGGTGGTAAGCAGGTGCTGACTGAGCACATCAGAAAGTCAGGTCTTGATCCTGGTACCCCAAGGGTCATCCTCACCACTCCATTTCTGAGGTTGACATGCTGAATGGGAGCACGTGGGTGGGATATATTTCTTCCTGGCACGACTGAGTGCTTTGTTGCCCTAGGGCATTTTTACATGTGCTCCGAGGGGGGTGGGGTGGAGATTTTAATTAGAGTAGCTCTCCACTCTAATTAAAATGGCAGAGCATCTCATGTATTCAGCACCCTGCATTTCAGAATAGCAGCAGGGGTGCTTTAACTGAAGCTTAACTTAATTCATTGAGTCTGTTCCGATTGGAACGCATCAGAGCATGTGTATAAGTGCCCATAGCGTAGACATTTCAGTGAAACTCAGTCATGGACCAGGACCCGGTTGTTCTAACTGCTGTACAAAAAAACCTGTGCTCCAGTCTGAGTATCTTTCTTGGTCCCTTGTGTGATGTCTAGACTAAGAAACCTGTGCGTGCTACTACCTTCAGTATAATCAGCTTGGCCCCATAGTTCAAGCAGTAGAAACTTACACTTTTACAAAGTGGCCTCTGCTTCATTTCCCTCCCAGGACCTAGTATTTACAATCCCATCACAACCAGACATCTGATTCTGAGAGCAGGGCTTATAGGTATCATATGAGCAATGCAGATATTGCTCATAAAAGTGGAAGAATGGGCAATCCTAATGGACAGGCATGTGGTTGGGTGAGCAATTGTTTATTTCCCAACATGCCAGCAGACCTGTTCCTTGTGGCTAGCCAATCACTGCCCTCTTTCTGTACTTCCATGACATTCCCGGAGAGCATTATAAATGCCTAGATAGGGAGTCAGTTCCTGGAGAATGTCTTATTCTTTTTCCTCTGAGGTTTGCTCACTTCCTAATAGCAGCAGAATACCTCTTCTGGTTTAGGTTCTTGAAAAGTAGGAAATGAATCCAGTCCTCTGTGTGAGACAGTGAGACACTGGTATAAACAGGGCCTACTGCTGGGCTTAATTCTTGGGCTCTTTAATTTAACGTTACTGTCTAACAACTTAGCTGTGGCGGCATCTGACCTTTGGAGTCTGTTCCACTTGCCTGCTTCACAGGTATGGCAAGGCACCTTTATGACTATGCTGCTGCCTGTTTTCCTATTTAGTGCTCCTATCTGGAAGGAGAAAGCAATCTGCAGCAGGTCTGCCTATGGCAAGAGGACACTGTCAATGTAGGTGGCTGTAAAAATAAAATATCAGTTTTTAAAGTTTCGTTGTCAGTAAAAAGTTTGCAGATTGTCAGTAAAAAAAAAAGAATTGTCTTGGGTTGGCAACACTGCTCTTATTCTCCTATTGCTGGCGAGCAGCCTATGGCAAGAGGACACTGTCACTGTAGGTGGCTGTTAGAAAGGCAAACTCAGTCTTAAGGAAACTCCAGGAGGGCAAAATGGGCATCTGTACATGAGCAGCGAGGCTGCTCCTTATAGCGTGTCGGGGCAGGCTCAATTAATCAAGTTTCCTGGAATGTGGTAATTACTGCGCTCCAGCAGCCTCCAGCATCTTGTGCACTTAAAAATGGCAGTGGGGCTGCTTTAATTAATGCTCATTGAACTAAAGTTAGTTAAAGCACCCCTGCCACAATTTTTAAGTGTGGGGATACTGATACACAAGACACTCTGGGCACTTTAGTTAGAGCGGCTCTTGGAGAGCCACTCTAATTAAGCGCTCCCCGCTCCTGGAGTACATGTATGAATGCCCAATAATTTCAGGAAGCTAGAGCCAACAAAATTCCTCACCGTCCTTCATCCGCTTTCTGTTCTTTATAAGTTTGCTGTACAAAATGTAGTGCCTCTAGCCTCATGACTTTTTAGGAGATACTTTTAGTCAAGTTTTCTGAGGATACAAATAAAACGGTTTAAAGTAGAAAGCAGGCTGCTCTCAGCCCCAAACTTTCACTGAATCCTGAATCTTTCTTTTTCCTAAGCTGTAGAACAAAATTGCATGCATGTAAGGACAAAGATGCTTCTGTCCCATTGAGTTTGTGGAGCTGAGGAGCTTGGACATGAAGTAGCTATGCAAGATTTTGGTCTTTGCATGGTTTCTGCTAGCAGAAAATCATGTAAACCTGTCAGGAGACTGGCTTCCTGTTAGATTTCTAGACCAGTTTTGCAGATCAGGTGGTTCAAATTGAACTTCCACATACCTGGTCTGGAGTGGACTTCCAAGCCATATGAGATTTAACTTACTGTACATGTATTCTTCTCTTCACCATAACCTAGTAAATAAAACCAGCCATCACATAGCTATGTCTATATGTGTTTGTATTTTATTGCTCTAGAAAAGACAAAATTAGAGACAAAACGATAATATCTTTGAGCTGTGAAATCAGTGGGATCACAATCTAGCAGCTGCATTAAAAAATAAAAATGAAAATAAGAGAAAGAGTTAAAATATTCTGTATCTTTTTCTCATCCCTTTGCCTTGAACCATCTCAGATGCTGCCTAGTCGTCTTATGTATTTCAGGGATCTCTCCTGAGCACCCAGCTCCCTTACTATACCAAGTGTATTTACTTTCAAACCTAATTATTTTAAAGCTTTGCCAAAAGGCACTCCACTAATAATATCTAGTTTTCACAAGAGCACTTGCTGTGTTCTGCCTTTGAGCTAACTCATGCATACATTATTTTGGAGAAAATACCCAACCTGACTGTTTTACAACAGGGGAAATGAAAGAATAAAGAGCCCGGTGAGCAGCCTAAAGAGACTGCTGCAAAACACGTACAGAAGATCTCTTTTAAATAACACAGAGATTCAGGCTCTCTAATGTGAGGGAGTTGGAAGTGGGGGTGATGGGTGATCTCAGTGATATGATGTAGTGTTATCCGGTGCTTATATAGTGATCACTTTCCAGCCTCCAAAAAGCACGTGAATGTGATATTTAGTCCACACAGACAGATGCAATCTCTTATGGAGTCCAGCAGTTGTTCTGTGTGCACCTGGCATTTGATGTTAATGAATGGGTACTTTTTTTCCCTGGAGAGTGCAAATAGCTTCTACTGGGATGTAACAGGAAGCCACTGGAAGAGGAAACGGTGACAATTTTAGCTTCCAAGGACATATGAAATCTGGTTGGCATCCCTAATTCTTGACTACGTGAGACGTTGCAAGGAAGGAGATTAAGAAGTATGGCACAAGGATTGGTTGCAGATGAGTAATGGGTGATGATTAAAGGTGGCGATGAGATAAATATGAGGGAGATGATCAGTTTGGGTCATATCCGCTGGGTTCGGATCAACATGGACTAGAGAAAAGGTGGAAGACAAAAAACTGACCTTGTCAAAGGTCAGACAGCAGGTCAGCGATGGAGCCAGAAATGGCGTCTGGGTCTCCTATCTCCTGCCCACTCCACCCTGGGCCAGATCTTGTGTCCTGCTCAGCTGCACTGTTCATCCAGCACTCATGGTCTCTGTAGGGTTCTTCTGCAAATATCGACCATGGGGAGAAGGGATCGGCTTTAGAGGCGGCGATGGGAAAAGTCTTCTGTGTTTATGACCCAAGTGCCTGCTTCTGGTAACACAGGACTCCTATACACGTGCGGGGAACCTGGAAATCCAGTGCATGAAAGTAGACTTGATTAATCGAGTCTGCCGGAGCACGGAAATTGATGCACTTCAGCAACCTTCTACGTCACGTGCATCAGCGTCCCCGTGCATCTCCACGCTGACAAAATGGGCGGCGGGGTGCTTTGAAATAAAACACATTCGATGAGTGAACTAAAGTTCAAAGCACCCCGCTGCAGTTTTTTCAGCACAGGGAAGCTGATACATGGGTGCTTTCAATTAGCACGGCTCACTAATTCAAGCTCCCGGCACTGCGTCCCAAGACGTGTAAAAATGCCCACAGTGCTGTGCAGTTTCCCCAAAATATAAATGTGCCAGTGTCAGAGTCTGGCAAAATGCTCATGACATTTATTTATCTGGACAAGGACAGGTGCTTTTTATTACTGCTTCCAGTTTCCAGCGGAAGTCATATTGGCACCAGGTCTGCAGGAAGTCTGTGCCTGCATGAGACAGTCCAATGAGAGTGTTGTAGCATCAGGTGTAGACCAGACCGGCGTACCTTTAGCCGTTAGAGGAGTCTTGCTGAACTGTGCAAAACATTCCCTGCAAGCAGGTTGCTCACTTCAGGAATATATTTGCAGTCACGAATTGACATGGAGATATGGGACTTGCAGTCAAAGAGCCTGATCCACCCAGCCTAGTAGTCCACTGTCCATACTAGTGGGTTTGTGGAACTGCAAGTCTTTCCTTGCCCTTCAGAGGTGTCTTCCATTCAGGAATTCAAATATGGATCGGCACTCGCAAACTCCTGGCGAGGCATGTCA